GATTCAGAGTCAGTTTTTTCTCATGAAATTTATTAATTTATTTATTTACATTGTAAACCTGTAGAAACTATAAAAGACAAGACTAAACTGCTGGCAATCCTTCAGGAAAAAGATACTTTTCCCTGACCTCTACAACTTTCATATGACAATTCTGCTCCTTGATATGTTACACTTAGATTTCTTAGTCCTTAATAATCAAATGCAAATGGTTGATGTGCTGTTCAGGTGTTCATGGTTAGTTTTTTGTAACTAAATTAGGCAAAATTCTTAACTGCATTCTTTTATAGCTGGAGTTATATAAATTGACATGGTATTTTATTCTACCCTCCTTATAAGTTGTCGTGTTTGATTAGTTCTGTAGTCACAATCTGCTGTAAATATCTGCCTGACATATTCCTTCATAAAATAACTTTTCATATGCTTATATGATTAGGGATCTTCAATAAAAATATCTTTACAAAGATGAATAGAGTCTAAAGAAGCACATGACTACAACAGTTATGCAAAGTGGTTTTTAAATAGGACCATTTCCTTACAAATCACAACAGATAAATACAAATCTCCAAAAGGTCACTTTTGTAATTTTTCAATGTCATACTGCTGAATCCTGTGGGAGGTGCTGAGTCTCAGCATTAAAGCTGGAAGTGTTTGAGGACTGTGGACAGAGCTCCCATGGAGAGGCACAGGAAATGCAGCATGACAGATGGAGTTAGCGCCTTTCCGGAACATCTCTGCACGGAGAGGCCAAGCTCCTGTCCCACAAAATGCTTCACTCAAATCACTAGCCCCAAAGTCCTTCTGAAGAAAACTGTGGGTAAATGGTGCATGAAACACTGTCAGCACAGAGAAAAGTGGTTTGCCCTGGCGTAGTTGATGGGCAATATTTGTTGGAATGCTAAAACAAGGGCAGAAATTCGTATTTCCCACTCCTGCTTCTGCATTTTAGGCACTGGATTATCGCTACTTATTTTTACCTTACTTTTACTTGAATATAAAGTAGGCAAACACTAAGAGGAGTGAACATGAATATTTCTTGTAAAAAATCCTCATTAGTGAACTAAACAGTAAAATTTTGGTTGATTTAAATATCCAGATCATTACTTTGAAGGAAGCATGAAAGCACCTAAGCTAAACTGCAACAGCAATTTTTTCTGTTCCAGTGATGTCTTTGGCTAAGTAAAACTTGTGATATATGCCTGGATCTATTAGTGACAGATATATTTTATTATAGGGATTAATCATATAATAAAGATCAATCATTTGTTCTCTTTTATTTTTTAAACCAGAGAGACTTGAATTCTTGTTAAGATTCTGAGGGAAGGGGAGTAATTTATGTCAGTGATTCAATACCAGATTTTGTGAGAAAGGCTAAATGAAGCACTTTTGAAAACTAGACACAAAGGGCAGATTGCTCCAATTTTGCTCCCGTTCCATCACTGCATTTGGGATGCTCTATTTTCTATAGAGCAACTGAAAAGACTGGCAATTCTCATTCTATCACTTTACAGTAACAGGGTGTCCTTTCCTGTATCTTCAACCTTGAGGTATGTTTATCAGCATCCTTAATATTTTTGGTTTGACAACACAACTCCAGGAAGCGTAAGATTATGGTACACATCTGTGAGCTATTTAAATGCATATAAATTGATTTATTTCTTCACTTAGTGACATCATACAAAGAGTTCCAACAACTGTAATAGAAATCTGATAACACCTTCTAGATGATTGAGACATCTTTGATTCATTGCCTGGCAGAGGACAGTAAAATAGATGTCAAAATGATGATATCCTCTGGACATTTTCCTCTACCTGTATGCATTAATAATACATTTTAAACATGGCAAAGCAGTTTTGATTTCCATCTTGCAGTAATAACTGAAATTAGAAGAGGATTACTGTGTACTGTGGCTATGAAGGAGAGAGACAAAAATGCTTTTCATTAATAAGGCAGAATCAGACAAAAGAAATGCAACAAAGAAAACAAAACTAACTCCACAATCTCAAAGATACTCCTTTTTAATTTTGTGTGTTAAATTTTGTATAACAGGAAATGAATTAAGCTGAGCTAAAATTTCCATTCATTTGTTGTACTGAAGTAGTGCTGTTATTACTTTGCTGTTATAGTCTGCAAGATTGGATTAAAGTAATAAGAATTAAAGTCACAGGAAAAGTGTGCAAGTAGCAATTTATGTGCTAATTGTCTGTCCAGGATTTAAATAAGGCTGGATTCATAAATACATACCTTCCCAAGGTGGTGTTCCTCAGCAGGATTTTTAATTCTTGTAAATTTATTTACCCAACTTTGAAAAATCATAAGAAATGATATAAAAATATCCAGAATTCTGAAAATTTATGCTCTGTGTATTAGCATAGGAGCTATCATCATAATTTGGTGCTTTTTTCAAGCTGAATAGAATACTGAGAATTTTAAATAAGCCTTAGGGGTAGGAAAATGTGTACACACAAATGAAAAATTAGTTTTTTGTTAAAGAATTTTACACTTGTATATGATAAAAGAATATATGAATGTAGCATTGTATTTAGTATGATGTGCCTATGCCACACATTATTGAGTCTGCAAAGCCAGATGTTGATTTTACAAGAAATATGGATGTCAACTACATCTTAGGATTCTTGGAGTGACTGGAGTTTCCTTTTACCCTTAAATACTGTCATTGTTCTAGATTGATCCCACAGATTTAACATCACAGATATTGTGACTGTTCCCATGACACAGTGATTGTTGGGCATCAATTTTACATGTGGCAAAATGTGTCAGGAAGTTTTTGAGGTTTTACTAAAGCCACTGTGACCCCCAAAACTTTTACATCCTGTCTTTTTAGCTGTATCTGTTCAGGAGCTGCCAGCTGAATGTAGTGACCAGACAGCAGCACAGAGGTTTCCAGATACAGCTAAACTTTGTGTTGTGAGCTGCTGAAAATAGTTTTGAGGGCACCTAGGAGATGTTGTACCTAGGCAGTGAATTCAATGTCTTACTAGCATGGCTGCTTTCTGTTTAGCTGACCACAGCTAGTTTTCACTCCTTGGAAGTAATGTAAGTAGCAATTTGGATTCCTGCATTCAAATATTTAAGTTAAAATAGTAGCAAAATTAATCTCCACAAAAAGAATATGGAAAGAGATGTGAAAAGGACTGCAAGGCGGTCTCACTGTAAATGAAACAGAGATATTTGAATCTCAGAGAAATATTTCTATCCTTGCAGACATTTTTCCAGTGTCCAGCCTTAGTAAAAAGAAGTAGAATGTGAATTTGCTATTAAATATTTTATCTGAATCATTGTGATAAAATTATTATGTTCCAAGAAAACATAAATTAAGTAATGAAGAGGGAAATAACCAAAAAGAAATTAAAAGTTTTTGTCTTAAAATTTACATGAACTAATGGTGGAAAGATGTTCTAGTCTCTCATGAGTCCATGGAAACCTGTGGGGAAATGGAAATGAACATGAGGCATTAATTTAATCAGCATCTCAACAGATGCAATGTCTGTCCAAGAAAAGCTATTTATAGTACCATATGGACCTACAGGAGGCTGTGTGGGCTGATAGTGCATTGGAAATAACACTAATGGCCTTCTCATGTCTGGGCCCTCCCAGTCTCTTAAAAACTACATGTGACCTTAGATCCACAGAGAAAAAAAATGCAATTGAATTAAAACATATAAAGTAACTAAAATGTGAATGTTATGATATGAGGCAAATGGATATTTTGCTTTTCTTTTTACATTATTCAGAAGATATAAAGAAAACCAGGACCTAAGAAAAAGGGTATGAAAAGGGATAAAGAAAATGAAAGCATGTTTGGAGGAAGCCAGAACCAGGCATAACTTAGGATCCTTCTCAAGAAAAAGTCCTACAAAAATGTATGGATTTGATTACCTATTTCCCATAAACTCTTAAGTAGTCATTTATTTTACAGCAGAACACTAACCAAAAGCAAAATGGGTTTTCACTGCTACCAGCTCAGCAACACATCACATAATACTAACTTTACAATCACTTTCCAGTCAGCTTGTATTGAAAGTAATGTATTTGGATCAAAAGGTTCATCTCTAAACACCTTTTCCAAAATTATGAGCAAACAAATTCTGTAGTGTAAAAAATGAAAGTAACAATCCTATTTATATTAGAAGAATTTAATTTTAAAATATTTAATATTTCAGTTATTTCTCTGTGCTCCCTCAGAGAAAAATGTTTAAATGAGAAAATCCTCTGTGGCTTTCAAAATTAACTGACTCTCCTGTTGGCAGTCAAAGCGCAGAAGCCAGCTATTCTTTTCCATTAAAATAATCCCTCTATGTCCTGGAATGAGAATGGCTGTGTTCATGGGGGCGAGCATCAAAAACCAATGGTGGCTTCATTCCCTCTGCTAATTGATTTTAGTTAATCTTCTGAGAACTGTTCTACTTTCTAAGTTTCATAACAATTAGATTCTGCATTACCTACTAGTGTACACTAGTGACAACAAAAGAAAATGAAGTTTTTATGATCCTTGCATGAAAATCAATTTGGGATGTCTTCCTAGAGGGGTATGGTGCTGACAAACAGGAATTAACTGGTGTTAATACAGTCTTAGCAGTGTCTTGCAACACAAAGAAATATAGTATAGAGTTTAACGTTTTACTAATCAAAGAAACACAGTAAAACCAAACAGGAAACATATTAGCTGACTACTAGTTTAAGGAAAGAAAGAGTGGGAAAACTACCTTGTCTTTATGACACCAAGGAAACACAGCAGCATAGATAAAAGTAAACAAAAATCCTAGCCAGTGTCTGTGGAAACATCATACACTATTCATAGGATGCAATTGAGCTACTGACAATCATTTCAAATCACTCCAAAAGCAACTGTGATAAACCTCTAGTGTTTGAAAATTTTACATGACATTCACCAGAGGATAAATGAAAAATGATTAATTTATAACTTTTTTACAGCACACAGAGTAGTTTCAACTTTCTGAAGTCCATCTATGTACAGCGACAGGGCTGGCAACATGAAGGCTTTGCAGGAATAGACTTTGCTGACCTGAGTTCTGATCATATTTATGCCTTCCTGGGGAATGCAGCAAGCAATTTCCCTTTCATAAGTCATGAAGTGTAACACACAGAGAATTTTTCACAGGCAGAATTTTGTTAATAGTAATGTGGAGGTGAGAAAACATCAAGGATGATCTGAGATAGTACTAAAAGTTGCCTTTTATTTTTCAGTTAGATTGTATATAAAGATTTGATTTTCTTGTTAAAGGTTCAGCTGAAGTTTGCCAGAATGCTTTTAAACTATAAAAAAATGTGCTCATACACTGAAGAGCAACCTTTAGTTTATATGACAGATAAAGTAACACTCTTTCTCTTCCATAAATTCTTTTTATGTCATATATTTCCATATTATTGTTAATATCTTGCCATCTGAAATACCTTCACTTCAGGATAGCTTTTATTTTCATTCATCTTAATCAAAGGAGACAGTATTTTCTTTAAGTACAGCATTATAAAAAGAGTTGGTTACACTGCCAAATCATAGATAAAATAATGGATAGAAAAAACATTAAATACTATGTTGAAAAGAGTGCTGCCATGTTACTGTCAGTAGAGTCATTAGTCTCAGATACATTTAACTGTTTTCTTCCTAAATCTATTGATTCTCAGTCTCTTTGTAGTTAAGGAAGTTGGTTTAGCTGCATACTTGACCTGTGTGTTTTCCTTTACTTTGGATTTTTCATGACGGGTAGGAGGTGTGAGATGATCCTCCTCCCAGCTTTTTCCTCAATATGTGCTTAGACTGCTGAAGTGTCCATTGTTCCATCTGTGCCAATGAAGGAAGAAAGGAAAAACAGGAAAACCATTAAGAAAGTGTATACACTAAGGTCCTGGTTGTTCAAACTGGTTTTATACGTTTCTATACAGAATGGTGCTGTAAATCTGAGCATTTGAAATCTATGCAGCAAAACACATCCTGAGTTTTCTGGATCAGAAACAGTGATAGATTCTGTGCCTGACTGACTTAATCCAGCTCTGATACAGCAATACTGTCCCTTGTCATGGGGAAAGCAAACAAGGCCTGGATGGGAACAGACTTTTAACCTCAAACAGGAGCTTTTGGTTCAACTACTCGCTCTAGAAGTCTGTCTGGCATTTTCTTTTCTGGGTTTTAGTTTTTATAAGAGAAACACTGCTCAAAAAAAAGATAGGATCACTTACTTTGCTGAATAAGGTTTTTCTGGTAAATTGAGGCATTTTCTGTTGCTTTGGTCTTTAACCAGAGAGCAATCACAGCCAATTGAAGCCCCTGTGTTTTTCCTGCCAACTCAAACAAGCTTCACAATTTGGAAAGCTGGGGAAGCAGCCTTGTCCTTTGCCAGCACTGAAGATGTGAAATTATCCTGAGCAGAGACTGGAGTGAGAAGAAACATCAGGCATGCTGCAAACCCATGGACCACAATCACAGAGAAAAAATACTATAAAAAGTTCAGCTTAGTGAGAAAATCATAAAGACCCTGGATGCTCTACACTGCATAGATAAGCACCATTTCTGCTTTGCTTCATTTCACCACTGAATCCAGCAGTTTAATGCAGCTTCCAACAGGCTTTTGAGTAACAGTAGCATTGTGGCTCTGAGCACTTCTGGCTCTGGAATAGAATGCAAATGTTAAAAGCCTGCTGGCAATGGACATAACACACCCCCTCCCATGTCAGCAGTGAGAGCCTCAGACATTTTGTGCTCTAGACACTTCCAGATGGCAAATCTTCAGATGCTCCTCACTTCTAAGATAAACTGAATCAGTGTGCTTCTGTGGGAATTGGGATTTAGAGGACTGTGAAACTGCAGAGTGCAATTAGCTTATCACCCAGGGGTCAAGTTATTACATAAACAGGTTTTAACCCACCAATTCACCAGCAGAAAGACCAGCAGCACTTGCAAAATACCCACTTTGAGCAGGTCTGAGTTGAGCTACCTGTTATTACTGATGATACAGCAAGGTCCTTCAAGTCTGTCCTGCTTGTGCAAATATGCCCTTACATCTAATGGCAAGGAGCTGACCTCTTTAGATCATTGGTGTCTCAGGCATCTGGGTGGAGGGTGCTGTGCCTGCTGTCACCTCTGCAACTTGCGGGACAGTCATGCAAGCAAATATATCTATGTCCTCTGTCAGTCTTGCTTATGGGAGAGTAATAGCTGGTCAAATAGGGAAAGCCTTATTTCTCATTCATTGTACCATCACTTAAGGTCTTATACTCAATTTCATATTTGTCTTCTACTAGCTAGAGCTATATTGATGCATTTAACCCTCCCCTAGAAAAATAAAGCTCTGCACCAATTCCTTTTTTGTTGCAGTTGTTCTGTAAAATGTCAACCACCGTTTTATTTGTAGGTGGGAAAAGAAAGAAAGGAAACAAGGAAGTTAAGTAAATTTTGTCATTAGGACACGTTTAAAGTGTTAAAATATGTTTGGCCTTCTGAATATTTTCCAAATATTACTGTAGAAGATTAGTGTTTAAAAGAACCCAAACATCCTGTGAAAGCTTTTTAAAGGGAAGGGGAGAATACTGAAACAAACCCATTTTTAGAGGTGCCTTTTCTATCAGTTTGGAACCCCAGCCACATGCTACTACTGAAATATTGAAGAAAAATGCTTTCTTGATTTGCAGTCTAAGCAGATGACTTAATCAAGTAAAATGACACTTTTAATGTTATCTTTCATTAATGGGAAGTCAGTTTTATGTCTCACATTCAAACAGCTGACTCTTCAGTGCAGAATTGTGCTCTTCAGGTGTCAGAGTTATGCTCTGGTACAGCCCTCAGCTCTGCTTTGTGTCTGTGCCTGGTGATTTCCTGGAGCTCAGAAGGCAATTCAGAAGGAAACAGAGTAGCATGGTTTTAATGAACGGGATTAAAGATTCTGGGTCAGGCAATCAAAGCAAAAAGGGGTCCCTCCTGATTTTGATGAAGTTTCAAGGAGCTAAATGCTGCAATAAAGAATGACTTTTGCAATTGCCTTTCTCTCTTATCATTAGATTAATGCTGAAAAAAGTGACACTTTAAAAGGCTTAATGCTGAGCTTAGAGCTGTAGCACTGCTGCTAAGTGAATGCTTTTCCTGTTGAAAGAGCAATGCAACAAAGAAACTCATGTTATTTCCTTTCTAAATTGCAGGCTGATATCCATTTATAGTTCTAATTCTAGGTCTTTATTGGGAATAGAGAATTGTAGTGTCCTCTCTTTTCATTTTCCATGGCTTCAGTGACATTAACAGTTCTGAGTCAAGATTCAAGTCTTCTTACAACTCATATGAAGAAGTCCCTTCACACAGCATCGGCATTTCACTGTCTTGTGATAGGTTTCCATCTTGTTTATACACATTTTAACAGGATGATATGCTTCATGTTTTCTCTTTATAAACTCTATGTCCCTGTATATTTGTCTAAAAAGATTAATCCCATTTTAATTCTCTCTCCCAAGAAACAAGATATTTAATATCACATTTTAAATCCCCTTATGCTTCAGAAGCATATATTCCACACCACATTTCTAGAGAAACTTTTATTCAAGAAACTTTTTATTGACAGGTTGACAAGAATAGTTTCAGTTCAAAGCACTTCTGTCTTTCTGATCACAGTTCTCTGTGATAGCTCTCACACAGCATTGTGTGTTGGGTCTGGCCAACCTGGAGTTAATTTTTCCTGTATCAGTCCTTGATATTAATTTTTCCTGTATCAGTCCTCACATTGCTGTGCTGTTTACTGGTAGCTAGAAGGGTGTGGAGAGCACACTCTTGTTTTACCTACTGCTGAGCACTCCCTGCACAGCATCAGGGCTGCCTCACTAACACTCCTCTCACACTCACCTCTAGTCTTGGGGTTGGGCAAAATCTTGGCAGGGGATATAGGAACACATCCAACACAGGTGATCCAAACTGATCGAAGGAATATTCCATATCATGTAATGACTGATCAGACACACAAGCTAAGAGAAAAGAAGGTGTGAGGGCTGCTTTTGCTTTTTTAACCTGCCTTTATCTTGACCCATAAATTATCTTTTCTATCTTATTTTCTCCCCTCCCTCTTATTCTGAGGAGGGGAGTGATAAAGCACCTTGGTATATGTCTCATATTCAGACACCGTCAACCCATCATGTGTTGGCAGCAAAATTTTATTGTTCGTGTTTTAAATATGAAATATGGGCTACAAATCTTAAGGAAAATACTCTTAGTCCACTGCTACAATGACTGTGAATGAAACACAGGAGTGAAAAATTTTAAACTATGCAGTATCATAATAGCTAAATCTAAAACAAAAAAGACAAGTACTTTCCAGGCAGTATAATGCACTGTCAGGATATAGCAATTTTTTTAGGGATGTTAAAAATGAATTCAAACCTACTTTGATTTCTATTCCTTATGTTAAATGTATTTCTGTTTCTTAAATATACCCCAAAGTGTAGAAAGTAATTTTATACTTCTGTCCCTGAACTTACTTATATATATATATATATACTTATAACTACTTATAGTTCAGTAAGTTTTGTTTTCAAGGAACTAAGTTTTATTTTAAGCTGAGGAAACACCATGTCTTCACAAGATGGAATGTGCTGCTTTGGGCTAAGGTAGGGTTAGCTGGCTGGCTGTTGAGGTTAAAACACAACAGAAAGCAGAATAACTCGCTTAATAATATTCTGGTTTGAAATAGCTGTCTCCCAGTGTTGTGTTCAGACAAAAAGGAAGAGTCTTATACCTTTAAAGCAAAGCCACAATGACATCACCTTCTCTCCACAGCATCCTATGTATGCTTCATCTATGTGGTAAGTAATAAAGCAAACCCTATCACTGAACTTGGTTAAAACTAGCACTTTCACAAACTCATATTAAAACCTACTTTTTGCTAATGCCATTGATAGCAAAAATCACTCATTCACAGCAGGAGGGGACTGATAGAAGCAGGTGGCACTTTGGTGGCACTTGACATCCAGCCAGGGTGAACCCCACCACAAGTTACCAAACACATTGGCTATAGAAGAGAGAGAAATCACTGTTGATATTTCAACTTTGATCAGAAGAAAGAGAAAACACTTTCTCTTGCATTTTGCTCTTCCTTGGATGTAGAGGATAAAGAGACTCCCTACCTTCCTTTGACTTTGATTAATATTCTTTTCTCTGGCTTCTTCATCTTAGTCCCTGTTGCTTTCTTATGGACCTACGGGAGTTTAATTCAAGATGCCAATTTTCATGGCAGTTTATGTACAAATACATCACAATAAACATGGCACTAGTGATCAAGATATGCAGATCTTACATCTACATCTGAGCAACCTGTAGAAATCTATTAGATTCCTAATGGAATTGGCGTGGGTCAGAAAGTTCAATGACTTGCAGGTAACACTGAAATCCACTTAGAGAAAAAACAGATCTCATACAGATTTAATGGCAAGACATTCTTCCATATTCAAATTCGCTTAACTGAGTCAGCTGCAGATCAGCACTAGTTTTTGTATTTATTTTCTAAAGTGATGTTTGGAGATACTATGGCAATCACTGAAGTCAGAGCAAAGTTCTTTTGTAATTATATACAAGTAAAACTTTGGATTGAATTTTTTCCTTGGTTAACATTTTGGACCTTATTCAAGGAGTAAGAATAATATTGATAAGATGTAGCAAGCGTGTAAAATGTGCAATTCTAGTTTGTTAATTTTGGTTTGATTTGTTTTAGAAGCCACAAAATCCAGCAAAAAGGTGCTAGGAATAGGATATTAAACGCCAAATTACGATGCAAGCTTTCTATCTAGTCTTTCTCAAATGAGTCATTCTCAGCTTGTCTCACTTGTGGGTTCTCTCCCCACACCAGATAAGTAGGAGTGGCATGCTCCCATCAGTACCATCGCAATCCATTAAGCTGTGACTCCAGCAGCCGAATATAGCTCCGCTTACAAGAAACTGGCTTCCTCTGGTCTGAAAACTGAGGAAATGAAACAGGACAAGTCCTAAAACCCTGTCTCCCCCTGCTGCTCAGAGAGCTGAGTACTGACTTGTCGGAATTAGAGCTCCCCATTAGTGATGGTGTAAGTGGATTTCATGCTCTGCGCTCACCTTAACCTGACGAGACTCCGTCTCTATCTGCAAAGCCTCTCCGCCAATTTCCCTCACAGCTCAAAGCTTAATGGGCCATTCAGGAGCTAGACTGCTCTTCACTGGTCCTACAAATAATAACTTCTATAAGCCTGGGACTTTTATCCACAGGTATTCCCCTCTCTGCAGCCAGATAATTCACCTCTAATTACTGCTGCATGAGCACCACCATTCTCTCAGGCTCAATTCCATATCCTTTCTCCTCTGTGCTACTTGGTACATCAGAAAATCAATAGATGGCTAAAGGAAGCTCTCCCACTGCTCTGCCTTCCCCAGACGTAGACTTCCTTAGCAATTCTAATGCTTGCTTCTATTCGCTTTTCCCAGCCTGTGAGAGCTGCCATATTTATTCCCTGTGCCTGATTTGATTCCAGGCAGTTTCAGAATTGATCTCGGATCTGTTTTGTGAATACCCTTGAATGAACCTCTTCTGTGGCCATGTGAGACTTCAGAATCTTGTCACAGATTTTCAGGTCCTAATTGCATAACAAATGGTGATGTTATTCCACAATTAACCTTCGGTTACATGGCACCACTTCTTACACATAATAATGACACTTGTATTGATGTAATTCTATGTATAGTTTGATTGGTTTCTGATAGTGTAATACAATTGTATAAATACACAGTAAAAAATTATGAGTAAAATTATGATTGAGAAATTATTAATCTTGGATATAAAGAACATTTTGGACAGTGAGATATTTCTTATTTATCCTTATTTAAAGTAGATAAAGTAAAAAAAAAAAAAAGTTATATAAATTCTTTCTTGTAAAAGGGAACACTTTGTGAAATCAAATGTTTCTTTTATGCATTCTCATTTTGGTAGTCATAGCTAAGGTTTGACAGTTCTAAATCTGAAGCCCTAAAAATAAGCTAGTTAAATTGATAATTTTGAAAACTGTAAATTTCTAGAAAGTTTCCTCTGAGTAAACCAAGGTCATAATCTCATACAGGGGGTTTTAAATTAACAAATATTAACATATATTAACATACTTAAATGTGGTAATATTTACATCTCAAGTCTCGGTCAATGATATTTGTGGGGGTTGTGTAATTTTTCCTACTATGTATATGTATGTCTTCAGCTAGAAACTATTAAAAGACCAGGTGATGCTGAAACAATTCTGGTGCATTTACATACGGATAAAGAAAGCTTTAGTATTCTGCCTGTCTTGGATAAGACTTTCTCTATAAGATCAGTACAAGGAGCAATTACCTGCCTGAGAGAATTGCTGAAATCGGTTTTCCAGCAAACTGGCTGTATCCTATTATTTCCTCCAGCGCTCTGCAGACACATGTTTTGTGTCAATGCATTCTGCTCAAACAAGCGCGATCACGCTGAAGCAAAGGATCTTGCCTAAAAGTTTAAGATTTCCGTGCTGCGAGGAAATGAGTGACCACAGGACATTGAACTGCCTCCATGAGCTCCACAGAAGGAGCACCCCAGCTCTCTGCTGACTGACTCCTTTCTTAGACATGCTGGACAGCCACCTCTTGGTCCCAGCTGTGTACAAACAGCCTAAAAACTGCTTCTGTCTCACCATGTGTTAACTGCAGGTGAGAGCAACTTAATCTCCAGTTAGTTGTCACAGGGGAGAAAATGAATATCTATTTTTGTCTGGGCAGATAATCATTAGAAGGGCATGAGTTGGAGGGCACCTTCAATTGCATCCAGTTCCAATCCACTGCCATAGGAAGGGACAGCATCCTCTAGACCAGGTGGCATCCAGCCTGGTCTTAAACACTTGCAGAGATGGGCCATCCACAGCTTCTCTGCACAACCTATTCCAGTGCCTCATCACCCTCATAGTGAACAGTTTTTTCCTAATATCTAATCTAAACCTTTCCTCTTTTAGTTTAAAGTGATTCCTCTTTGTCCTGTCATTACATGCCCTTGTAAAAAGTCCCTCTCCAACTTTCTTGTGAGCCCTCTTTGAGTACTGGAAGGCTGTGTAAGATCTGCCTGAAACTTCTCTTCTCCAGGCTGAATAACTCTCTCAGCCTGTCCTCATGGGAGAGGTGCTCCAGCCCTCTGGTCACTTTTGTGGCTTCCTCCTCATTCGCTCCAACAGCTTCACTACTGTGCCATGCTGGCAGCTCCAGAGCTGGAGAAACTGTGTAAGTTACAATACTGTTTGTGGATCTGGGAGTTTGAGGTATAAATGTGAAATCTTTAAAGTAAAATAGAAGGAAAAGCACCCATCAGAAAATCTTACATAGCAGAGAACAGTAGAGCATGTATGAAGGGGAAATCCTTATTTGACAGAGGCACTAAATGAGACTAAATCAAATGAGACTGTAAGGGCACAATTTCAGCACATATACTGTGAAATACTGAGGATGAAACAACAATAATATTTGGAACTGATCTATTCTTCATTAGCTTTGAAAACATCACTTTCTTTTATTAAAGTAGGATGATTTTTTTTTTTCTTTTTGGTGAGGTTAGGGAGGTATTAATATGAATAGACAGTAGTTTCCTGGCCAAAGGATTACAAATTCATTGTAAGTGGGTGCCTCATTTCTGTAAGTCCTACCATAGACTCTTCCTGTGAACTGAATTTTAACAAAACTACTGAGAAAATGTATTTTGAAAATAAAGCCTTTTAAAGAGTCTCCATTTGCGTAAACAAAAATTAAAGCAGCTGAAAACATCAAAGAACTATTTCGAAGAATGTCCCAAGGCTTAAGGGGCATTTGCTTGTTCTTCAACAGTACAAGACTTACATCTGGGAAAGCAAGGAGTCTTTCCTCCAGTTAAAATAGTCAAAACAAACCAGGAAGGCAAGTGTCAGCTTTTTATTTATTTGTTCTTACTAACACATGCTCTTGTTTTCCTTCTATGATACTTAATATTCCTCAACATAAAAGAGAATTATGGCCCAGATTACTTATACACAAGATTCTTTTTCAGCCTCATGATATTTGATCTTTAGTTAAGTGAAATATTGTAAAGGGCTTGCTGGCCCCTTCCCAGTAAAATAGCTCAATTTTAGTAGAAATAATAAGAAAATACAAGAAATCAAATATATTAAATCACTAATCTTGAGAGACTGTAATGCCCCCAAGGACTATGCAGATAAATTGGCAGAAAAACTTAATATTCTGGTAAAAGAAAGGTTAAAATGATGGAAAAAAAATACATTGTAAAAGTTATATTGAAATTTGTTATATGCTCTATGCAGCCAGTTATGTATTTGTTATAAACATATTTGTTATTTATAGCCAACTGGCTATAGAGAGTTTATTTTTTATTCTACTTGAGTGAAAAACAATTTTCATTCTCTTATTTAAAACGAACAGAGAGCAAGTGAATAGACCTTTTCCCTGGGTATATGTGAGATTTAGATCCTTAAAAAAGTATATGAAAATTATTTAGAATTATTTTCAGGAAACACATGAAAACCACAGGGAAATATTTTTGTGTACCAGAAGGACTAAAGTGCTACAGTCTCTATTATTTGGTTCCATCAGCTTAAATATTGTCATACATTTTGCCAAATATTTTAGATACACTGAAGAATTTTAGTGTCTTTTACAACAGCTGTACAGAAAAATCAAAGGTACCTTAACAGATTTTGCCATTTATAGGTGAATACTTACGTATTTTATTTTCAACAGTATCACCTTCTAACAACAGAGCAGATCCAAAGAAGATTTTTTAATTAGCTCCTCTTTTATAAAATTAGTAATTTTATTATGCATTCCAGCATAATCATACATAAGTCACTAAAATGAATAAACTTTGGGATATTAGCTCTTAGCATCAAGAATGCTGGTGTGTCAAAACAGTCTTTAAAAAGAAAGTTAGTATTTACCTGCTTATATATTAAATGTCTTCCAGGAATTATTTGGCAAAAATACAGATGTTACTTTTGGTGATTTCTCCTAAGCTTTCCAACAACCTCAAATCATGCTGATTGTTTCAGCAGGGAGCAACATGGGGCCCATTCTTCACTTTGCCCTTCCAAAATCAAAGAAAAAACAATTTCTGGATATCTTATGTAACAAAAAATTATCTTGTAAATTGCTCAAAAGTGACTACATACCACCAGTAGTGAATAACCTTTATAAGGCTAAAATATGAAAACCAATTCCTATCTGTTACTATTTTCATTTTTAGCAGTGCAGCTTTCTGTGGTCTTTGAATATATTGTATTCCTTTAGAGTTACAGACCTGAAAAGACTGAACTTTCATTTTCTTTTTAATACTCTTTCTTCAAAGGAGAGATGAAAATAAATGCTATCCAGAACAAATTTGCCCCACAGAAAGAGGCTATAGTCTTCATTAAAGTCATCACATAAATCATATATCATAATATATGATAAATCATATAAATTATATA